ACTACTACTACTACTACTACTACTACTACTACTTACTACTACTACTACTACTACTACTACCTACCTACTCCTACTCTCCTCTCTCTCTCTCTCTCTCTCTCTCTCTCTCTCTCTCTCTCTCTCTCTCTCTCTCTCTCTCTCTCTCTCTCTGTGTATCCTTGGTACACAAAAAAAATAGTTTTTAATCACCATGGAACATGGGGAATAGACTGTAGTAAGCACAACTGTCAAAAGAGACATATAGTCGCCAACCAAACATGGAAAGTATGATAGCCAAAAATAACAGACCTAAGTTGCACCAAAATTGTGTGAATTGCCAATTACTACTGCCAGTTTTCTGAAAAAGTTGTTTTAAACCTTTGCAACGCCTTATTAAATTTTTATGGAATGTAGGAATCATCAAATGCAATCCAACCATGTAACAAAACCTTTGCTCTCCAATTGGACACTAGACCAGCAGGTTGATACTATTGAAGTTCAGGTTCCATCTGGTTTCGTAGAAATAATATCATATGGTCATAGTCATGCCAACACACGCCAGCAGAGAAGTTCGTTAACTAGGACAGAAGTGGATTCCCATTGTTGGTTGGAAGGCATTCTTTACATGGGTCCTTTTACAAGGTAACAGGCAGACTTTGCAGTGACCTATAAGTCCCCTTACAAGCACTGTTCTTTAGGTTCTACTATCAATCTAAAGCGTTAGTCAATAAAATTATGAAAAGTACTCTGGCAATGCTGTTCCCATCTCATACTCAATGGTAACTCTTTTTACTCTTGCAATTCTTCCACAATAGATAGACCATACAAAGTATAACTCTTTTTATAATGCTCACTGAAATAAATCCCAGAATATTATGGGCACTCAATACACTATATTCCAAATTTTCAATGTAAGACACATCTTAAAAAGCGTGAGAAAGGTTTGAATATAGGAACAAAAAGAAACAAGTGAATGCAATGGTAACAAAGATAATACCTTTTTGCCATCTTCCAACTGGTGCCATGATACTATGGCCAACATAGTTCTCTCGATGCTTGTCAACCTTGACATCTTCCCACTTAAATTCTGCGCATTATAATAAAACTAAATGAAAACTGACTAATGCCTCCAGAATATATAAAACCAAAGATTAAAAGCTGGGGCGCATAGTACAGAAATACATGAAGGGCCAGAAAAAATGTAAATATCATGTAAAGTAAGTCCGTGATATTTAATTCTAGAGTTCATTATCTAGAATATTTCCCTCATGAACTAGAATATTTCCCACTGAACCACAATTCGGCTAGCCATGTCCCAACTACAACACATAGTTTGTGGTTGGGCAAGGAAATGTCCAGACTCCAGATGACATGAAATTACAGATTAAAAAGATGGGGCGTGTATAGTACACACACCAAGTGGCCAGAAAACATTTAAATATAATGTAAACTAAGTCCGTGATATTTAATTCTGGAGTTCATGGTCTAGAATGTTTACCAAGAAATCCAATTTGGCATAGTGTTTATGACGCCATTCTTGATGTAGCCATAACCCATAGTTTGTGACTAGGCAAGGAAAGGTCATAGGGTCTAGAATGTTTACCAAGAAATCCAATTTGGCATAGTGTTTATAACACCATTATTGATGTAGCCATAACCCATAGTTCGTGACTAGGCAAGAAAAGGTCATAGAACCATAGGGGTAAGTAGATATTAGAGATGTTGTTTTGGGTTTCTTAATTTTAGTTGTTAACTACGGTTTTTGTTAGGGGCAGAGTTAGTCTTTTAATTTAAGTTAATAATGGATTTTTAGATTAAAAGACAATGGATGGCTAGGATTTCGTAGGAGCTTCTTATGCTTTTAGGGTTTTCTTAAGCAGTTGTTACAAAACGGTTTTGGGGCTATTTTGTTGTTTTTGTCTGAACTGTGGGTAAATGAAATTTGAAAGTGAATTCCTCCCTATTTTTTTTTAATATGTTGACTATATTGAATAGAAAGTGAGTACAGAATGTGAGAGGAATGGGGGGTAGGGTAACTACAGACGGGTTCCACCCAAAAAATAAGCAACCCACAAACAGGTGCCCTGTACAAAACCAAGGGTGTATCAAAAAAGCTTTACATGAATTGAGCCATTAAAACAATTCCAATCTGTGATATGCAGTCGAGCGAAGGTTCCCTAAGGGTTGCTCAGGTTGGCTTGAGACAAGGTTGCAGCTGCCTTTGCTAGGGAATCAGCCTCACCATTTGCTTCTCTCCAAACATGATTCCAAACGAGATTTGTAGATTCCTTGTGAGTTGACAGATTTCTCCAAGGCCAGGGTCAGTGCTTGAGGCCCAGGCTATAACACTGTAAGAGTCGCCTTCAACGGTTACATTCTGCCCCCAGCTAGTGTTTAACTTCCTGAGGCCTTCCCAGAGGGCAAAGGCCTCAGCAATTGTTGAATCAGAGACACCAATGGGAATAGAAAAGGAACAAAGGGTATTGTTGCTGTGGTCATGGAACAAGCCACCTATGCCTGCATGGCCTGGGTTTCCGAGAGAACACCCATCGAAGTTAAGATTGATGTGGCCCTCTTCGAGTGGTCTCAAAAGGGAAGAGCGTGAAGGCCTCTAAGTTTTGAAGGAGAGAATGGGAGTCCAGCTGTGGAGAAAGTCAGAGCGGCAAAGGTTTTTGAACTGTTTGTGGTGAGTGGCCTAGAAGATGACTGCTTCTCCGATCTTTTGTACTAGTGCATTCGCTGGAGATGACTGGCTTCAAACAATTCTGGCATTTCTCTCAGTCCAAATTGTCCAAAGGGTGGCAGCCACTGAGGCCCGCCATAGTATGGTGCCAGCCTTAGACCAAGCGGTTAAGAAGGTAGAATTGATGAGATGAGTGACATCAAGTGGAGTCCCGCACTACCATTGGAATAACTGAAGGATGTCAGCCCATATAGACGAGGCTACCTTGCAATGGATGAAGAGGTGAGCATTGGTCTCCTCGTCCTCAGTGCAGATAATGCATCTATTTGGAATTTGGAGACCCTTTCTCTACAATTGATCTATAGTAAGGGCTCTCTCGGATCCAGCTATCCAATTGAAGAATTAAATCCTGGGGGGAACCAAAGGGATCCAAACTTTGTTTACAATAGAATTGGGGCAAGTAGGGGGGCTTCTGGGATGAGCTAGAGAAAAGTAGAAAGAGGCCACCGATAAGGAACCCGAGTGGTTGGGGGTCCAGATGAGGTTATCTTGGCCTCGAAGGGGCAGGAAGACACAGTTTAGAGTGATGGAAAGGGCTGTGAATTCCTGAAATTCTGGATCCGAGAGTGGTCTTCTGAGGGTAGGACTCCACACCCTCCTATTGCCCATCAGCTGAAATTGGGATTCCACAGTTGCACTAAAGTCACTGGCCAATAGGAAATGTCTAGGGTATAGAAATCATTGGCCAAAAGGAAATGTCTAGGGTATATGTCTTTAAGGGGTACGTTCTTCAGTCAAGTATCGATCTAGAACAACGTTTTGTCGCCCTGCCTAGGCCTGTACCTGATCATGAATTGAAAGTGTGGGTAAGAATGCAATATGGACTTCCATATCCCCGAGGAGTTGCTATGAGCCCGTCAGGAGGGCACCCAAGAGGGGTGTATTTTGAGTTGATCACCTCCTGCCAGAGATGGTTGTTTTGGGTAGCAAAGCGCCACCACTATTTCCCAAGTAAAGCAAGATTATTTTCTTTGCGAGTTCGAATGCCCAACCCCCTAGAGATTTAGGTTTGCAGACATTCTTCCAAGATATAAAATTGATCTTCCTATCCCCATTGTTGGACCACAAGTTTCTCATTAGCTGCTCCAAACGGCCACCGAGGCTGGCATATGAAAAAGTGACATCTGAAATATAGGGGCGCTAGAGAGAGTGGCTTTAATCAAAGTAAGGCGGCATGCCGGAGATAGGAATCTGCCTTTCCACCCTGCCAATCTACAATCATATTTATCAATGATATGGGCCCAAAGATTCAATCTAGGCTTACCTATGCAAAGGGGCAGTCCCAGATATGTGGAGGGCGTCCTCCGACGAGTAGCCCCAGTTGAAGCAAAATTTCTCACGATAGAAGGCTCCAATGCCACACCACTCATCTTAGATTTGACATTATTGACCTTAAGTCCTGTGGTCATCTCAAATATCTTGAGTAAAAGTTGAAGTGTGTTAAAAGTTAACTTTACTCAAAAAAAAAAAAAGATGAAGTGTGTTAAGTTGTGCTTGCGATGCCTCACAAAACAACAAGGTATCGTCGGCATATTATAGGTGAGTGATCATCGGTCCCGAGTTGCTGATCTTGAATTCTTTGAGCAAGCTGGCCTGGTAAACTCGAGAAATTGATCTGCTGAAAACTTCAGCTACAATCATGAATAAAAAGGGGTAAACTCCTCGGCAGAGTCCCCTGGAGGATGGAAAGAAACCTATGGGAGATTAGTTGATAAGAATGGAGAAGTGTGGGCCTGAAATGCAACCTTTGATCCAAGTTCTCTATCGACTACAAAAACCCACGTGACGGAATGTCTCATCAAGGATGAACCAATCAACATGGTCATAGGCTTTCTCCCAATCGAGTTTGATGATTAAACCGGATAACTTAGCACGATGTCGAGAGTGGATGGCCTCATGAGCAACGAATGCACCATCGAGAATTTGATGCTCTTTAACAAAAAGCTCCTTGAGTTCTGGAGATCACTGAGCTAAGGACCTCTCCCAGTCACAAAGTGAGAACTACGTTGAGAATCTTATAAGAGCTATTGATCAAGCTAATAGGACTAAAGTCTATGAGTTCTTCTGCCCCCTCGACTTTAGGAATAAGCACAATGAAAGTGGCTTTCATTGTATGATGAATGATTCCCCTAGAATGGAATTCATGGAAGAAGGCCAGAATATCCTCTTTTAAGGATTCCCAAAAAATCTTAAAAATAGCGATTAGAAATCCGTCAAGACCTGGGACTCGGTCTTGGCCAAGATTTGAGATTGCCTTTAAGATTTTAGGCTCTTCAAAAGGCCTTTGGAGCCAACCAGCAGGCGGGAGAGATGGTTTGGAAAGAAAGATCATCCAAGAATGGTCTAGAGCCTCGAGGTGCCTCAAAAAATATTTTGTAAGTACTCAGTGATTGCATCTTCAATCAAAGGAGGTTGATCAAGCACAGTATATCCCACTCTAATCTGAGTAATGGTATTATCCCTTCTTCTACAGTTGGCTATTTTGTGAAGAAAACCGATGTTGAGGTCACCGTGTTTAAGCCATTTCACTCTTGATCGCTGGGCCCAAAAAATTTCCTCTTTCTTTAAGAGGAGGTGTAGTTCAAAGTTGGCCTCGGCTCGGCGGGATCTCTCATTATCTGCAAGAGCACGAGTCTCCTCTGTAGAGTCCCACAATTGGATTGAATGGAGAAGGGAGGCCTTTTGGGATCGAAAATTTCTTGGCAGCAGAGCACTCCAAGCTTTAAGAGAACCCTTAAGACATTGAAGCTTCTTTTGGAGCCGATACCCTGCCCATCCATGGACATGGCTAGAAAAAGAGGTCCACCACATGTGAAAAAGGTTATTGAAATTATCCTCCTCTAACCAAGCCAGCTCGAATCTGACGGGCTTGGATGAACGAATGGCTGGAACAGTGTCTAACATGATAGGGAAATGATCCGAAGTGGGCTTAGGGAGGGCAAGGGAATGTGAACCAGGAAATTCTGCATCCCAGTCCAAAGATATAAGAAAGCGATCTAGTTTTGAAAGGGTGGGGGAGAGGCCTGACCAGGTGAAAGAGGCCCCCAGGAGGGCCATGTCAATCAGTTCTAACCTAGAAAGCAGTTCTGAAAAATCTGTCATCGATTGAGAGACCATTGAGTTAGAATTTCGCTCGAATGACCATCTTGTAGTATTGAAATCTCCACCAATGCACCAACTATTTGGAGGGACCGAAGCCTCAAGATTCAGTTCTTCCCATAACCGTGGTCTAATAGAAGAAGAGTTGGGACCATAGACAGCAGTGAATTTCAGGGGAAAGGAATCGGAAACTCTCGAGAGGGAGATGGAAACCGAAAATTTACCAACTCTAGAGGATAACAAGT